GCTCGATCCCCTCCTCGAAGGCTCGACCCCGTGTCTCGGGGGCCGCATGCGGACCCTACCCCTACCCCCTACGCTTTCTGAGGGGGAGGGTGGGGTTCACTGCGTTCGGGAGCTCCCGAGCGAAGCGAGCCCCACCCTCCCCCTCAGAAATCGTGTGAGGTAGGGGTAGGGTTCGCATGTGACCCCCTAGACACGGCCTCGATCCTTCGAGGAGGGGATCGAGTAGGGGGTCGAGAAGGGGTCGAGCATCGAGAATCGAGGTCGAGGTCGAGGATCGAGTAGGGGGTCGAGAATCGAGGTCGAGGCCGAGGATCGAGGTCGAGGATCGGAGTCGGTTCGAGGTCAAGGATCGAGGATCGACTGACAGGTTTGATTTGCGGTCGACCCGTATCAGAAGGGTGCGCGACAAGGATGCAAGGGCCCGGGAGGGCCATGTTGAAGCTTCTCGAGCGGGGCGCGGCCAGCGAAAGTGGCCAAGGATGGGCCGAGGAGGCAAGGATGCACGGGTACCCTTGGGAAGGCTGCCCATCCTTACCATGCGTGTCGACTGTACTCCAACATCATTTTGTTCGTCGCATGCACGACACATTCGTAGAACGTTCGTAGATCCACGAACCTTACACGCATGTTTGTCGTACATTCGGCGAGGGAATCCATCTTGGAGTAAATCAGTGTTGCAGTCGATCCCCCTCAGGGATCTTCTGACCCGGGTCAATCCAGACCCGGGTCAGCAGGAAACCAAACAACTGCAATGCAACAAAAAAAACTGTAACGCAGGCCTTCGCAAACCCGGGTCATCCAATATGCGCGGCCGCCTCGCGGCCACGAGCGGCTCGCTAACCTGGGTCAGCCAGAGGGGGTCTTCGCAGGATCCTGAAGGATCCGGTGCCCTGGCTGACCCCGTTTGCACTGACCCCCGTCTCAAGGCTCCCGACCCCCACTCGAATCCCCGACACCGGCCTCGACCTTCCGATCCTCAACCCTCGACCTCGAGCCGATTCCGAGCCTCAACCTCGAGCCTCGATCCTCGATCCTCGACCCTCGACCGCCTACTCGATCCTCGACCTCGACCTCGATTCTCGATGCTCGACCCCTTTCTCGACCCCCTACTCGATCCTCAATCCTCGACCTCGAGCCGATTCCGAGCCTCGATCCTCGAGCCTCGATCCTCGAGCCTCGACCTCGGCCCCGACCTCCGAGCCTCGATCGTGGGCCTGCCCCTGCCAGGTGCCCCCCCCCCCCCCCCCGCGGACACGTCGGTGTCGGTCTTTCGGCGGCGCGCACAAGGGGGCAGGGGGAGGGGGGAAGGCTTCTTGGAAGGAGGCTACACGCAAGAGTGGCCCTGGGTAAGAGTGACCTTTAGTGCGCGGCTGTTTGGGGGCCGCGGGGAGACCAAACCTGGGCGCGCAAGCCGCTGCTATCGCTTCGTTTTCAGCCATCTGGGGGCCCACCTGTGCCCGCACCTAAGGGCACTCCGGCGAAAGGTCACTCTTACGTCTAGTCGATGGGAGGAGGCTGCTCCTCAGGAGGCGCCGGTCCAACATCCGCAGACCAGGCCCATACCTTCTAGAGGCAGGCGTACTTCTGCGGAGCTTTCCCCCTTCCCCAGACCCGCCCCTGTGCGCGTGGCCACCGTCCAGCTTGGATATCGTCAGCTCGTGGATCCTCACCGGATCGGCGACGGCCGGCAGGGACCATAGCCCAGAGCCCAGACCCCCCGCGTCGTGATTTGCTCTCACTCGAGCCCCAGAGATCTCGACCGAGAGGGCGAAAAAATAACGAGAATCCGTCCTCTGTGATTGTTTTTGAAGTCCCGAATCGGTGCGGTGACAGACCGTGCGGTGACCTCGAAATCCCCCAAGACCTCACCGCACGGTCCGTCACCGCACGGTCTTGGGACCCCGGAAGCCCCTGTCGCCCGAGACGTCCCCGGAGAGGGCCTCGAATCCCAAAACCGTGCGGTGACCCCGAATCCCCACCGACTCACCGCACGGTGTGGTCACCACCCCGTTTGGGGACCCCCGATTGTTGTTTCACGGCTCGACGGGCGCCGGAAAGATCGGCGTCGACAAGATCCCGCGGCATCGTGGTCATGGCCTTCCCTGGCTCTCCACCGTCCACGCCTTCCGGCCAGCAGGTGACGGACTTTGGTGACCGCCATCGAGGGGCCACAGACTGTAGGAGCATGTGCTTCCTCGGAGCTCCGCAAGTCCATGCTCGTGCCATCTTTTGTCCCCCGAAAAAACACACAAAACCAAAAACCAAAAACAACAACTACAAAAAAAACGGCCACCTCTAGCGCTAGGTCGGGCATGTCCTCCTACAGGCGGATTATGGACGAAAGATTTGTGCAAAAGCGAAAAAGAAAGAATGAATGAAAAAACAAGAAAACACGTCCCCAGACTAGCTGTTTTACCATCCTTGAATACTCCTCCTGTGGAGGGTCATGCCCGCCTGAACTCTAGCATGGGGGAAACGTGTCCTGATAAGGGAAACGGGTCCTGGACCCAGGGACCTCAGGGCGATTTCTTATTCGGCGTTTCGGCATTGGGCGGACGGGAGGGAGGGAGGGGGGGGGTCCGGCTCCGGGCCCCTGCTTAGCGCGACTGCTTGCGACAGGGGGTCGCATGGGGGAGACTCCACCTGCGCGAAGCAGGCGCCCAAAAACAGCCAATTTCTACTCCATGTGATGGGCCTGTTTTCCACCGCCACCACCATAAGTTGGAGGGGGGAAAGAGGAGGACGACGAGGAGGAGGAGGACGAAGAGGAGGAGGAGGAGTACGAGGAGGAGAAGGAGGAGGACCCCCTCTCCCTCCAACTTGTGGTGGTGGTGGTGTTGGAAAATGAGCCCATCACCATGGGGGGGGGAAGGGGGGGTGCGAGGGCCCGCCCCGAACCTTCCCCCAGGACGAGAGCTTCCTCCTCAGCCGTGCTCGGACAGTCCCGGGACCCGTGGAGGGCCCCAGGCCCGAGAAAACGGCAGAAAACCACCTCGGGGCCCGCTCTCTCGGACCGTGCCTGCTCTGGAGCACGTCTCGGGCGCCGCGGCCTTCTCGGAGCGCTCCGAGAGCGCTCTGGAACGCTCTGGAAAGGATTTGTCCTTGTTCTAACCGAGATGGGTCTTTAAAAGACCCATCTCCCTGTCCTCGGGCGCCGCGGCCTTCTCGGAGCGCTCCGAGAGCGCTCTGGAACGCGCCGGAAAGGATTGATCCTTGTTCTGACCGAGATGGGTCTTTTAGAAGACCCATCTCCCTGTCCGAGGGCGTCGAGACGATATTTGCTTCTGAAGGGGGCTCTCAATTAGAACCCCCCAACGGTGGAAAGTAAGTATCGTTTCGACGCCCTTATTGACAGACTGACGCCCCCCACCACTAGCGGAGAATGAGAATTCGCCCGCGGCACACGCCGCGCAACAGCGACGACGACGACGACGACGACGATGAAGGAGGAAGAGGAGGAGGAAGAGAAGGAGGAGGAGGAGGAGGAGGAGGAGAAGGGGGAGGAGGAGGAAGGAGGAGAAGGGAGAGGAGGAGGAGGAGGAGGAGGAGGAGGAGGAGGAGGAGGAGGAGGAGGAGAAGAGGGAGGAGGAAGAGGAGGAGGAGAAGGAGGAGGAGGGGCGAGCGTTTTCTTCCCCACCGAGAGAAACAGGGGAGGGGGAGAAGAGGATAAAAACGAAAGGCCGATCAGGGTTCTCAGACATGCGACGTCCTGATGCTTTCCATATGGGGCCCCTGGAAGTCCCGACCCTTTCCCCGCGACCAGTTTCCGTCCTGAATCATTTGGGTTACGGTCCCGAGGCCCGGCGAGGGCCCCCCGAGGCCGAAATGGCCCAAAATGCCCCGTCCTCATTTTGTTTCACGACGCGATCACGTCTGGATTATAGCCCTGCGCGACTTCCCCCCATGCCGAGGTTCGCGCGCCGTTGTCCCTGGCCAGATCCTGTGCGATTTCCCCCATGCCAGGTCGGGCATGCTCTCCTACAGGCGGATTTTCTTCAAGAAAAACATCAAAACCCGCCGACCCCAATGTGGGGCCACCTGGCTGTAGGACGAGGTTGCTGCTCCCTGCGCAAATTGCAGTTTCAAGTCTCCAATGTTACAGTCCTGCTGTCTGTTTCCTGCTGTAAGTTGTTGAAGACCGCGCGGGGGGTGGGAGCCCCGAATCACCTGGTTACCTCACCCAGATCGCGTTCTCTGAATTCATGGGAGGGCGTGGGACACGCAAAAATACATGAGATTCGCGCCCCCGAGACCAGAACCCCTGTTAAAATTACGCCAGATTCGCGTTCCCGAGGCCACATACTTTCGTAAAGTACACAATTGTTGCGCCCCCGAGGCAACAAACCTTAAAGATTATACGAAATATACGCCTGCCCGAGGTAAGAACCACAAGTAAATTACTCCATGTTCGCGTCCCCGAAGCCATAACTCTTTCTGCGAACTACGCCATATTCGCATCGCCGAGGCCAAGAGTGATCCAAGGCGCCCGAAGATGGTTCCAAGACAGCCCCAGAGGGCCCAAAGAGGCCCGCAAAGCGCTCCAAGAGGCCTCCCGAGAGAACCCCAAGAGGCCAACATCGTAGCGAAGGCTTTTGAAGGATTTTGGCCTTCTCGCATTTTCATCTTTCCGCCGCTACATGACGGCTCAAGAAGCTCCCAGGACAGCCCCAAGACAACCCAAGACGCCTCCAAGAGGGTCCTAAGACGGAACAACAGGGCTCCAAGATGGCCCAGGAAGCGCTCATGACGGCCCACGAGGGCCCCAAGGCGGCCCCAAGAGGGGCCCAAGCAGGGGACCACAAACCGAAAATGTGATTTGTGTGCCCCGATAAGCCCCCAGGAGGCCCCTAGAGGCGGCCAAGAGGCCCCAAGAGGCCCAAGACGCGCCCACGTGACCTCCAAGAGGCCCAAAAGATACCCCACGAGGCCCCAAGAGGCCCCCAAGAAGCGCCGAAACCACCTCCAAGAGGCCCCCAAGAGGCCCCCCACGAAACCCCAACACACATACAAGAGACCTCAGACCCACAACCCAGGCACGGTGGCAGGAGGGGCCGAAAGCCACTACTAGGACCAGGATGACACCGACGTCTCAATATGCGCTGATGGTTCCTACCCACCCCCGCATGATGTTCCTGGATGCGCCAAGGCAGCGCCGAGGCAGGCCGACGCGACTCTGACAGATCCCGTGGTGATCAAAAGGGGGCCGGCTGCAGGTGGCGAAGCGCTTACGGACAAACATTGCAAAACAAACAGAACCTGTGTTGCTCCCATCACACTCAAAAACCACATCCCAAAAATCCTTTCGAGCCCCCGGAAAAGTGTCGAAACAGTGCGTCGAAACTAGACAGGCTCAGCCGGAAATGTTCCTAGAACGCTGCTTGGTAGGCCTAACCTGGAGAAGCAATTAAGGAACCCCCCGGCGTTATCATTAGCACCGCGCCGTAATTAAATAATTATTTGGGGGGGTATTCGCCGAGCGATATTATTAGCACAGCGCACATGGAAGGAAAATAAATAATTCCAGCGCCCCGCCTCGGGTGGCATCCCAATTAGAATTGTAATGAAACTAGGAATACGAATACGAATAAGGAAAAACGGAGAAAAGCTAAGGAAAAGCTTTTAAAAAGCTAAGAAAAAGCTGAGAAAAGCTTAGGAAAGCTAAGGAAAGGCTAAGACAAGCTAAGAAAAAGCTGAGAAAAGCTCAGGAAAAGATCAAGAAAAGCTGAGAAAAGCGAAGAAAAGCTAAGGAAAAGCTGAGAAAAGCTAAGGACAACTAATGAAAAGCTAAGGAAAACTATTGCAAAGCTAAGGAAAAGCTAAGGACAACTAGGGAAAACTTAAGAAAAGCGGAGGAAAACTAAGGAAAAGCTAAGGAAAAGCTAAGGACAACTAAGGAAAAGCTAAGGAGAACTTGTGACCCTCGCAGTGACCCTCGCAGAGTACCCCCAAGGCCTGAGTATGGAGACAGTCCAAGGCGGGAGCCTTGTCTGTGAGCGCGTCCTCCTCCGTGTCCTCCTCCTCCTCCTCTTCCTCCTCCTCCTCCTCCTCCTTCTCTTCCTCCAGCCCCCATTTTTCGAATGAGATTTCTATTGCAACCCCTTTGGACAAATTATTTTTTTCGGCCGTCGTAGGAGGTGGTCCATCCCAGGGTATCGCCCCCGCCCCGCACCGCGGTGTTATCTTAGCACCCGGCAGGACCAAAATAAATCCCCGAGCCAGAGTAGGAGTGGATCAGTGTACATGGTTACGGCACCGAACAGCGAGGGTCGAGCACTGGAAAGACGCGTGGCCACTGAAGCTCTCTGACTCCTCCGCATGCGTTTCCTCATTCTTTCAGGAGGGTGTACCCCCTCCTGGTGCCAGGATAACGCTTCCGGGTGCCGGGTGCGTTATCTTTTCACCGGAGAAGGGGGGTGGGGGGGTCCTTAATCGCTTATCCGGGTTATAGTCGGCTACACGTAAGAGCGACCCTGGGTAAGAGTGACCGTTGGTGCGCGGCTTTGGGGGGGCCGCGGGGAGGCCAAATCCAGGCGCGCTAGCCGCTGCTACCGCTTCGCGTTCGGCAATCTGGGGGCCCATCTGTGCCCGCACCAGAGGTCACTCCGGCGAAAGGTCACTCTTACGTCTAGTCGATATAGGCACGCCAGGACACGTCGCCACTGCTTGACACAGAACCCATGCCGAGGTTGGCGCGCCGTCGCCCCCGGCCCTCCTCGGGCGGCGGCGCGCCGAGGCCCGAGCAGCCCTGCAGCGAGGGCCGGATGCCCTGGAAGCGCAGCGCGGGCACGGGGCGCGCGTGGGCTGGGCCTGGGGGGCAACGGTAAGGGGGGGGAACTGCTCCTCCTCCTCCTCCTCCTCCTCCTCCTCCTCCTCTCCTCCTCCTCCTCCTCCTCCTCCTCCTCCTCCGCCCCCTCCTCCACCTCCTCCACCTCCTCCACCTCCTCCTCCTCCTCCTCCTCCTCCTCCTCCTCCTCCTCATCCTCCTCCTCCTCCTCCTCCTCCTCCTCCTCCTCCTCCTCCTCCTCATCCTCATCCTCATCCTCATCCTCCTCATCCTCATCCTCATCCTCATCCTCATCCTCATCCTCATCTCATCCTCATCCTCATCCTCATCATCATCATCATCATCATCATCATCATCATCATCATCATCCATCATCATCATCATCATCATCATCATCATCATCATCATCATCCTCATCATCATCATCATCATCATCATCATCATCATCATCATCATCATCATCATCATCATCATCATCATCATCATCATCATCATCATCATCATCATCATCATCATCATCATCATCATCATCATCATCATCATCATCATCATCATCATCATCATCATCATCATCGTCAGCATCATCATCCTCCTCATCATCATCCGGCCCCTCCTCCTCCTCCTCCTCCTCCTCCTCCGCCTCCTCCTCCTGGGGGGACGGGCATAGGGGGGAAGCATCGACCAGGAATCGGCGATACCTCGCCAATAGATCTGCGATAGGCCCCCGATCGTGAGTCCGAGCCTGCCTGGGCGGGCTGGGGCCATCGGGCCCCCATCGGCGATGAGTGGGCGATCGGGGGTCAAAGCGTCCGCCCCTCTGCTGATCCCCCCCTATCGTTGCCCCTGAGGGCCCCGGGCGGGGGCGCTCCGCAGGGCCGCAGGGGGCGCGCGCCCGCTCCTGCAGGGCAGCGACGACGGCGACGACGACAAAGGAGGAGAAGCAGGAGGAGGAGGAAGAGGGGGAGGAGGAGGAGGAGGAGGAGGAGGAGGAGGAGGAGGAGGAGGAGGAGGAGGAGGAGGAGGAGGAGGAGGAGAAGGGGAGCCCTGAGATGCATCGTCTCTACAACAAATTGGAACATCGCTCAAGATCACGACGGGAGCTCTAGAAGATATATCGCGCCGTGGCAAAATCAGGACGGGAGGTTGTTGGCCGATTGTGTCCTCGGGGGGCCGCCCCTCGCCGGGCCTCGGGACCATCAAAAAACGATTCAGGATGAAAAACTAGTCCAGGGGAAAGGGTCGGGACTTCCAGAGACCCCGTATTGCAAAAGTCAGGACGTCGCATGTCTGGAAACATCGCTACAAAGCACGACCGGAGCCCTGCTTCCTGTCATCACTTCGGGCCAGATCGGTATGTGAGGGCCCCGGGGGCCCGAAGCCGGGCAGAAGCACCCGTTGTGAAAAAAATTGCGACACCAGGAACTCAGGGAGCCCTGACACCCAAACCCCCTCGACCCGGAGATCCTTGGAGGGGCCCCAGGACACACAAATAAGTACACACAGATAAAAAGATTCCCCATATCTTCGAATAGTTTCTGGGTCGTTGTCTTCCCCCCCACCTCCCATGTTTTCCCATATCTTCCTGGGAGTCGACGATTCATTGTGTCTGTGTGCTTCTTTCCCTCCTGACAAACCCCCTCGACCCGGGAGATCCTGGCGTCGCAGCCTTTCGTCGCCACGGGGCGCTTTCGCCCCCGCCTCGGGCCCCCCGTGGGCCTTCACAGGTCGATCCGGCCCGGCAAATGGGGCAGACCGGTGGGATCGGGGGCTCCCGTCGTGCTTCTTCACGATGCTGGATCTTTCGGGGAGACGTAAGACTCGGATACGGGGGACGCGGGTTGGCCTGACGGGGGCCATCATAGAAATGACGAGACGCTCAGTCTGAAATTTGGCGCGAGCTCCCACTGCAAACGTCCCACGAAGACTGGACCGTCAAAATCCAGGACGCGCTCGTCAAAAAAACGACGGCTAACCCGAGTTCCGGCTTACCCGAGTCTTACGTTCCCCCGAATGTTTTCCAACGTCGCATGTGAGGGGGATGGGCAGAGAATCGCGACGGACGGTGCTTCGCTACGCTCGGTCTCTGGGGCCCCTTGTCGGGCCTCGGGACCGCCAGGAAATGACCCAGGATGAAACACCGGTCCCGGGGCAGGGGTCGAGATCTCTGGGGGTCGACGTTTCTGAAGGGGCCCAAGGACACACAAATAAATACACACAATAAAATAGTCCCCCATATTTCCCCATATTTTCTAGGTTCTGTCTTCCCGCTCACTTCCCATATTTTCCATATTGTCTGGGGGATCGACGATTAATTGTGTCTGTGTGTTTCTTTCCCTCCTGAGTTTTGGCTCAATCAGGACGTCGGGGGTCTGGGCGCCCTGGGCGTTGCACACGTCTCGGGCCGGGCGCCTGCGCCCCCTGCCTGGGCCCTGGAAGGGGGGGCAGGGAGCACGGAGGCAGAGAACGCACGCGCGCTCGCGCCGCAGGAAGAAGCACGACGGGCGGTGTTGGGGCCGTCTGCGGCCTCCTGTGGGGGGTCAGCGGGAGAGCCCCGCAGGGCTGCCAGGGGCGCCGGCCCGCAAGAGCCCAGACCCCCTGGGGAGAGAAAGGGTTGAGCGAGTTTCGGTCTCCGGGGGCCCTCGCTGGAACTCGGGGAAGTTACAAAACGACCAAGGATGAAAAACGACCCCCATGACATGGGTCGAGACCTTTTGGGGTCGATGTTTTGTTATGAATGTATATGTGTATACATAGGTATATCAATAAATATATAAACAAATCTAGATATAATTACATACCTCTCCAACAAAAGACCTGGCGACGCATTTGAAAGTACCGCTGTTGAGGGTATCGTCCTCGGTGGAGCTCCCCATGGGCCACGAAACGCTGCACAGGGTAGGGGAGACGCATGCTAACTTTCCCACTGGGGCCTTCCGTGGAGCTCCCTTTGGGCCACGACACGCTGTACTGGGAGAATGGGGAACATGTGAACTTTGCCAATGGGGCCTGTGGATTGAGCATTGCATCGTCTCTGTGCGGCAACGAAACGCTGCACTGGGCGAGGGAGACGCATGCGGACGGTGCCACTGGAGCCTTCGGTGGAGCACCCTGTGGGCCACGAAACGCTGCACGGGGTGGGGGAAACGCATGTGCACTTTGCCACTGGGGGCCCGAGTGTAACTCCCTATGGGCCCACGTAATGCTGTACTGGGTGTGGGGGAGACGCGTGTGGACGGTGCCATTGACGCCTTCGGTGGAGCTCCCTATGAGGCCACGAAACGCTGTTCTAGGTGGGGGGACGCATGCGGACGGTGCCAGTGGGGCATTCGGTGGAGCCCCCATATGGGGCCACGAAACGCTGTACTGGGTGGGGGGACGCATGTGGGCGGCAGCGCTGGTGGAGCTCCCTATGGGGCCAGGCAACGCTGCACTGGGTGGAAGGGATGCATGCGGGCGGTAACACTGGGGCCGTCGGTGGAGCTCCTTACGGGGCCACGAAACGCTATACTGGGTGGGGGACGCATGCGGATGGTGCCACTGGGGCGTTCGGTGGAGCTCTCAATGGGCCAACGAAGCGGTGTACTGGGTGGGGGGACGCATGCGGGTGGTGGCGCTGGGACCTTCGGTGTAGCTCCCTGTGGGGCCACGAAACGCTGCACTGGGCGGGGGGACACATGCGAGCGGTAACACTGGGGCCGTCGGTGGAGCTCCCTATGGGCCACGAAACGCTGCATAGGGTGGGGGAAACGCATGTGCACTTTGCCACTGGGGCCTTCGGTGGAGCCCCCATACGGGGCCACGCAACGCTGTACTAGGTGGGGGAGACGCATGCGGGCGGTGGCACTGGGACCTTCGGTGGGGCTTTTTATGGGGCCACGAACCGTGTGAGAGGTCTGCCAAAATGATTGATTGGCGCGGAGGGTAAAGGCAGGGACGGGAGGAGGGAGGGAGAGGAGGAGGAAGGAGGAACGCAGGGCGCTGCTTCTTCAAAACGAGGACCCAACACCACAGGATGGTTGGTGAAAAAAACACGCCGGGCGTCTGGGGATAAAGGCCTCTTTCATGGGATCCGAATCGATGGGGTCGGAAGATTGCGCCGCATCGCTTACGCATCGCCAATACATCGGCGATGCATCGGCGATACAACGGTCGTCGGCGATGTGCTGGCGACGTCGGCGCGGAAACAAAACATTGGGCCCCACATCGAGCCGCATCGCGGATGCACTGGCGATGCAGCGCGATCCTCCGACCCATCTACTCTGGCCCCATCTGAAAGGTCTGACTGGACATGGGAGAGAGCCCAGACAGACTCGCGTAGCGAAGAAAATCGCGACGGGAAGATTTCGGCCGTTTGTTTGCCTCCTGGGGCCTCGCTGGGCCCAAGGCGAAAAAAATGCTTCCCCAGTGAACTGCTGCACTCCACGGCTATAAGTCTAGAAGGTGAAGAAGCTTCATAAACTTCGAGGAGTTTCCAAGGAATTCCTTGGCAGCTTCTGAGGAGCTACTTGGCAATCTCTACGGAGGTCCCTGGCAGTGTCTAAGGAGCTCGTAGGTAGTTTCCAGGGACCGCCATGACATCTTCCAGACGATCCTTGGCAGCTTCAAAAGAGCTCCTTCGCAGCCCTTTGGGACCCCTCCGACATTCTGATAAATTCTGAAATAAACCTGTCAGGCATATTCCGGGATGCCTCAGGAACCTGCAAAAGTCCCTCAGGAATTCCAAGGAATATCTGGAATCCCTCAAGAATCACCCGGAGGCTGATCCTCAGGAACCCTTCAGCAATCCGATGGCATCGCCAGAAATCCTCACGGATCCTTGCCAGATCCTCAGGAACACTGAAGAATCCTTCGAGAATCAAACAAGAGTCATCATCAAATCCTCTAGGCATCCTCGTGACCCGTCAGGAATCCTTTCAGGAATCATCCGGAATCCTTCAGAAATCCTCCAAAAACCCTCCGGAATCCTGCAGGAATCCACATGGATCCCTCAGGAATCACTCCGAGGTCCTGAAGAATCCATGACATTCCTCAGGAATCCGCAGTAATGCCAAGGAATCCTTCCGATTCGTTTTGGAATGTTTCAGGACTCCTGTGGGCATCATCCCCCAAGAATCCGAAGGAATCGTTCACGAATCCCTCTGGAATCCTTCAACTGGTGAGCGTTTTTTTACTCGGCGTTTCGACATTGGGAGGAAGGGGGGGAGGGGGGGAGTCTGGCTCCGGATCTCTGCTTAATGCGACTGTCTGGAACCGTGCGTCCTACGGGGGAGACTCCACCCGCTCGACACAGGCGCCAAAAACAGCCAAGATCTACTCCACAAGAGTCGGGAGCGGCCAAGAGGGGGGTCTCCAAGAGGGGGGGGTGCAAATCATGACCGGCGGCATGTGCGCGGCCCAGCGGGGGGGGCCAGGGACGTAATGAAATAAGAAGAGGCGCCATGAGATCTGGGGAAATATCATGGCCCACGCCATGATATCCCCCCCCCCCAAATCATCACCCCCCTCTTTTCTGCCCCCGAAAGAGGGGGGAGGGGGAAGCGCGAGGGCCCGCGCAGACCGGCAAAACCATGGGTCAAGAAACGAGCACCGGGGTGCCACGCGACCTGGGCAGGTCGGCCGAGGCTTCGTCCGGTGCTCGCCTGCGCACGCGCCCGCGAGCGCCTCGTGGGCGCCTCGTAAGGCGCCTCGCGCGCGGGGGGTGGGCGCGTCGAGGCCTCGCCTGGCCTCCTTGTCACGCGGCCGGCAGAGGGCACCCGGGCGCCGACGATGGCAAAGAAGACGCTCGGGCCGGGCTCGATTCCCCGAGCCGCCAAACAAGCTAAGCCCTCCCCCCTCCCCCCCTCCCCTGGCGGGACAAGAGGATGCCGATCACGCTGCTCCCTGGACCTCTCCCGAGGCACGCTCGGGCCAGAATGCCGAAGGGACTCCGGCCGTGGCGGAGGGCTCTCCAGGACGAGCAGCAGTAGCTCTACCTGCTCCTCCCCTTTCCCCCCCCTACCCGCCCGACCGTCGCTCCCGGGAGAAGACGGCGAGCTCCCCGCGGAGGCCGCAATGGGCGCCCGCCCGCTCCCAGCCGACTCGTCTGGGGCCAAGGCGGGGGGCCGCGGCAGCCGGCTGAAGCTGAGGATCCTGCCGCGGCCAAGCCGCGCGCCCTGCCCCTCCGTCTCATCCTCCACCTGCTCCTGCTGCACTCCCTCCTCCTCCTCCTCCTCCTCCTCCTCCTCCTCCTCCTCCTCCTCATTCTCTTCCTCCTCCTCCCTCCTCCTCCTCCCCTCCTCCTCCTCCTCCTCTTCCTCCTCCTCCACCTCCTCCTCCTCATCCTCTCCTCCTCTCCTCCTCCTCCTCCTCCTCTCCTCCTCCTCCACCTCCTCCTCCTCATCCTCCTCCTCCTCCTCCTTCTCCTCCTCCTCCTCCTTCTCCTCCTCCTCCTCCTCCTCCTCCTCCTCCTCCTCCTCCTCGTCGGCATCAGCAGCATCATAATCCTCATCATCAGCTGCATCACAATCATCAGCAACATCAGCACCAACATCACCATCATCACCGTCACCACCACCACCACCATCATCTGCAGCAGCATCATCAGCAGCAGCATCACCATCATCAACATCATCGACATCTTCTTCTTCATCAGCAACAGCATCATCCTCATCTTCATCATTAGCAGCAGCATCATCGTCGTGAGCAGCATCATCATCTGCAGCATCAGTATCATCATCATCATCATCATCATCATCATCAGCATCAGCATCATCAGCAGCAGTATCAGCATCAGCATCATCATCAGCAACAGCAGTAGCATCAGCATCATCAGCATCCTCATCATCAGCAGCATCATCCGCATCATCCTCATCATCACCATCATCAGCATCATCAGTACCAGCAGCCGCAGCATCCTCGTAATAAAAATCAGCCGCATCGTCAAGCCATCATGTTCTTTACCATCACAGTCAATCATCATCATCGTCAGCATCATCATCATCATCATCATCAGCATCATCATCAATTGCATGACCGTCCTCATCAGCATCATCAACATTTGCAACCCTATCCTCATCCGCATCAACATTATCAATATCATCTCAATCTGAATCATCACCGCCGTCATCCTACTTTATGTCATCATCGTCATCATCACCATCAGTATCATCACCATCCGCAGCATCATCACCCTCATCACCACCACCGTCATCAGCATCAGCATCACCATCAGCCTTATCAGCATATCATCATCACCAGCATCATCGTCATCATCAGCATCATCAGCATCATCAGCATCATCAGCATAAGCATCAGCAGCATCATCAACAGCATCATCATCATCATCATCATCAGCAAGATCAGCATCATCAGCGACAGCATCATCAGCAGCATAATCAGCATCATCATCAGCATCAGCATCAGCATCATCATCGCTCCTGGCTCCTCCTCCTCCTCCTCCTCCTCCTCTTCCTCCTCCCTCTCCTCCTCCTCCTCCTCCTCCTCCCTCTCCTCCTCATCCTCCTCCTCCTCCTCCTCCTCCTCCTCCTCTTCTGCCTCTCCTGCATCCACATCTTTCAAACAATCCTCCTGCTCCCCCCTCCTCATCGCGCTCCGTCTCCGTCGCTCCTCCCATCATCATCATCATCATCATCATCATCATCATCATCATCATCATCAGCAACAGCAGCAGCAGCATCATCATCACCACCATCATCATCATCATCATCACCATCATCATCATCAGAAGCAGCAGTCGCATCATCATCATCATCATCATCATCAGCAGCATCATCATCAGCATCATCAGCAGCATCATCATCAGCATCATCACCATCCGCACCATCATCATCACCATCATCATCAGCAGCACTATCATCATCAGCATCAGCATCAGCATCAGCAGCATCAGCGTCATCATCAGCAGCAGCATCATCAGCATCATCAGCATCATCTGCATCATCTGCATCCTCAGCATCATCAGCATCACCATCATAATCAGCATAGCATCAGCATCACAATGATCCTCAACATCATCAACAACAGCAGCATAATCCTCGCCATCAACCTCATCAGCATCATCAGCAGCAGCAGCATCATCGCCATCGTCATCAGCAGCATCATCATCAACATCAACTTAGTCATCAGCACCAGCAGCCGCAGCATCCTCGAAATCGCAATCACCCGCATCATCAAAACGTCATTGTCATCATCATCCTCATCATCCATATCAGCATCCTCATCATCATCAGCATCATCATCACATTTAGCACAGGTCCTCATCATCATCAGCATCAACATCATCAACCTCAACCTCATCCTCACCCGCATCATCATCCTCATGAGCATCACATTCAAAATCTTCACCGCCGTCATCATACTCAATATCATCATCATCAGCATCACCATCCGCATCATCATAATAATCATCACCACTATCCTCAACAGCAGCAGCGAGATCAGCATTACCAGCGTATCACCATCATCATAAGCAGCAGCACCCTCATCATCATCAGCATCATCCCCAGAAGCATCATGTCATCGTCATCATCGTCATCATCAGCATCATCATCTGCATCAGCATCATCATCAGCATCATCAGCATCATCAGCATCAGCACAATCATTGTCAGCCTCGTCATCATCCTCAGCATCATCAGCATCATGATCATCGTCATCATCAGCATCATCCTCAGCATCATTGCTCTGGGCTCCTCCTGCTCCCCCTCCTGCTCCCCCCTCCTCGTCGCGCTCCGCCTCCGTCGCTCCTTCGTCCTCCCCAGCCCCCGCCGGTCGCCCCAGTGCCGCGGCCCGCGGCCCCGTGGCCCCGCGCCTGGCCAAAATCGGTACCACGGGAGGAGGGCACGGAAATGAGGGGCAACGGTAGGGGGGGACTAGCTCTTCCTCCTCCTCCTCCTCCTCCTCCTCCTCCTCCGCCGTCTCCTCCTCCTCCTCCTCCTCCTCCTCCTCCTCCTCCTCCTCCTCCTCCTCCTCCTCCTCCTCCTCCGCCTCCTCCTCCTCCTCCGGGGGGGACGGGCATAGGGGGGGGGGGGGGATGCATCGACCTGGAATCGGCATACCTCGCCGATAGGTCGGCGATAGGCCCCCCGATCGTGAATCCGCACCTTCCTGGGGGGCTGGGGCTATCGGGCCCCTATCGGCGATCGATGGGCGATTGGGGGTCGATGCATCCCCCCCTATGCCTATCCCCCCCTCTCGTTGCCCCTGAGGAAAGAATGGGCACGAAGACTCACATCGGCTCCTGTCCGTGTCGAACAGGGTCCGTTGTCCGTGGCGCCCGCGGGCGTTGCCCGTGTGAGCCAGAAGGCCCCCGGCCCCACAACGGCCGATACCGGTGTTGGACACGGCATCTGCTGTTGGGCATCGTGTCGCTTTCGTCCGTGACCACTCGGGCGCCCAAAGTTAGCACGTGCCAGACGAATGCTGGATGTTGCCTCTGGGCCTGGCATGCGTCGGCACGCGTGCCAGGCGGGCACTGCGAGCGCATGCTGACCCAGCCCTCTCTGCGCACGCAGCCTCACGTGCGAGGGATCCGCCGACCCATGCGCTTGAACTCCCGTGTCCAGCCTGCGTGAGGCCGAAGGTCCGCCCAAAGAAGGGAAACCCTGGCGCCAGAGCCCGTCCCAGGAGAAAGGCATGCGGGAGGCATGTGATATGCACGCCTGGCCCACAAGTTGCGCGGCTGAGCGCGTGCCAGACGGACGTCACAGTTCCCCCAGGGCATACGCGTAAACACGTCATGCAACTTGGCACGTGCGGGACGCATGTCGAATACCCCTCCTCTCCGTAGACGCGCTCGCACGTGTGGAGAATCTGCTGAGCCCTTGGCCCCCCCCATCCGACCTAGGGCCAAAAACACAGACCCACACAACGAGCTACAATCATTGAAAAGCAATAAACTTCGCAACTCCCCCACCTCTGGGGAAACCAACAACTACCAATACCCCTACTCCCTGGACCTCTCCCGGAGTGCGCTCTGACCAGAAATTCGAAGCGAAACCAACAGTGGTGACGAAGGCCAGGAGCACCAAAACGGGAAAACGACGGAAGCGTAGCGGTATGAGTACCTCCTCCTCCTCCTCTGAAAAGCCTCCTCCTCCTCCTCCTCCTCCTCCTTGTCCTCCTCTCCTCCATTAACGCCTCCTCTGCTCTCCTCTCTCCTCTCCTCCAGCGTGGTCCTCCTCCTCGTCTTCCTCCTCATGATTATTTCTCGGTCTACAAGCACCACTTGGGTGATGGCGAGAGCAGCACAGACAAAGAGTGGAGGCGATGCCAGCGCAACGACGGTGGCGACAACCGTCGGTTACCCCGGGTTCGCGCGGCGTCGGCGCGCGCAAAGGTTTCTGACACCGCGTCGTTCGTTCAACCATGAATCGATCGCGGCCCTTATCGTTCGAGATTGAATTCCGTCGGGTCCAGCGGAGTCGCCGTGCCCCTCGGTACATCCGCGTCGCAGAATTCAACCTTGAACGCCATCGCCGCGTCGCCGACACGGCGTCTCCGCATGAACCTACCGTGAAGCACGACAAACTGTGCGCGACTGGAATCTGCTCAGCACTTCGACGTCGGACGGACATGCAGATAACGGCGGCGGCAGCCCTTGTCCGACAAAGTCCAGTACCGTCTGGAGGTGAGACGGAAAACACTCCTGAGGAGGAGAGGGGGGAGGAGGAGGTGGAGGAAGAGGAGGAGGAGGAGGAGGAGGAGGAGGAGGAGGAGGAGGAGGAGGAGGAGCAGGATGTGCACTGAGAAGGGAGCCCTCAAGTCCCTCCGAGCTCACTCTTTGTGGAAAGGGTCGGGCCCGTGCTCCCGGCGCTCTCTGGCGCTCCTGGGCACCATGTCTGCGCACCCGCGCGAATGTTCCACAGTTTTCGAAATTCCTCTCTTCCAGCATGGACTGAAATGGTCCTACTGCCTTCGTCAAAACGAACCTCCATCATGCGTTGCATATCCGATTTGAGCTTGCGTGTGTTTCTGGAGTGGCCGGCGATGAACGCGCCGTACCTCTTGGCGCGCCCCCTTCGGTGCCGATCACCATCGAACTTTCGACGTGACCCTGCTGAACGATCAGATGCCCCCTGGCCACGATGCTGCCGGGCGTGCAGACATTGAAGGGGCACCCCGACACTGAAGGGGCGTGGCCTTGGAGGCCTGGAAATGGCCACCAACACCAATACAGGGGGTTGCCTCCACAGTGGGAAGATGATCTTAGATTTCGGTGTTGGTGGTAATAGTTCGGCCACCTTGGAAGCCAGAATATTACCACCATCACCGAGATCGGGATCTTCTTCCCTCGGTGGAGGCACACCGCCAAAATTGGTGTTGGTGTCAACCTCTAGGCCTGCGACATGGCCGACATGTTTAAGGTTAATGTTGTCGAGGGTTGTAGGGCCCGGCCCGTCCACTGAAGCCCTCGGCGGGGCCTCGTCGGCCGTCGGGGGGCCCAGCAAGCCGGCCTGAGGAAGCAAAAGACCGCTGGAAGACCAGAAGCGGCATGCGCGCCTGTTCGGTCGGAAGGCCCGAGGCGGCCCCATGAGGCCCCCGAGAGGGCCCAGAAGGCCCCCACGGACATGTCGAGCCCGTTCCTCCAAGGTAGCCCCCGAGACCGCCAGCAAGTCCTCGTCCTCCTCCTCCTCCTCCTCCTCCTCCTCCTCCTCCTCCTCCTCCTCCTCCTCCTCCTCCTCCTCCTCCTCCTCCTCTGCCTCCTCCCTCCTCTCCTCCTCCTCCTCCTCTTCCTCCTCCTCCTCTGCCTCCTCCCTCCTCCTCCTCCTCCATCCTACTCCTCCTCCTCCTCCTCCTCCTCCTCCTCCTCCTCCTCCTCCTCCTCCTCCTCCTCCTCCTCCTCCTCCTCCCTCCTCCTCCTCCTCCTCCTCCTCCTCCTCCTCCTCCTCCTCCTCCTCCTCCTCCTCCCCCTCCTCCTCCTCCTCCTCCTCCTCCTCCCTCCTCCTCCTCCTCCTCCTCCTCCTCCTCCTCCTCCTCCTCCTCCTCCTCCTCTTCCTCCAGGGTTGGCTTTGCAGGGCGACCCACACATCACGGCAGCGGGCCTCCACGAGGTCCATCTGAGCAGAGATGGCAGAACGTGGCTGTGCAGGGTCTGCTGGCCTTAAGTCGGGCCTGTCCCCCTACAGGGGGATTTTCGACGAAAAATAAAAAATGCCCCAAAAATAATCAAAACGTAGTCCAAAATTGGCTGGGGACTATGTTTTGAGTATTGTTTGACCCTTTGGGGGCATGTTTGGAGTATTTCTTATGTTTCGTCGAAAATCCCCCTGTGGGGGGACAGGCCCGACATAATGCTGGCCTGACCCACGCGGCGCGATATTCTCACAGTCAACCTGGATAGTAAGGATGCGCGATAAGGATGCAAGGGCCTTGGACGCCCATTTCAAAGCGCTTCGAGCGGGGCGCGGCCAACGAAAATGTCCAAGGATGGACCCAGGAGGCAAGGATGCAAGGGTACCCTTGGGAGGGGTGCCTATCTTTGCTATGCGGGCCGACTGCATTTCGCAAAGCAACGAGGGAGACATGTTGGAGTTACGAGCGCAGCAAGGGAACATGTCTTCATAGGTATAAGCAGCCCGTGTCGCCTAAGTCGGTCTGCGCGAGCGGGAGAAAGGAGCTACAAAGCCCCCAGGAGGTCTCCGAACAGCTCAGGCAGGCCCGAGTGCAGACCAACAAACTTGAGGCAGCAACGGCCAGGAGAACGAAGTCTCGAATGCCTTCTCCGTTGGAGGACGGCAGTGTGGTTGATGGCAACCTTGCTTGAGATGGTGACGACGGCGGCTAGTTTGACGAAGGCAAAGCCGAAGCATCGTCACTACGATGGAAGGGCGGCAAGGGCCCAAATGCTACTGCTGAACGTCTCACGAGGCAGCGGAACCACTCATCAAGAAGAGCGAGCACCCGTAGGAGTACTTTCTCGGGAACGCATGGGCTGACAGGTTTGCTAAAATGGGCGTATGTCAAAGCATGGTGCGTGCGCCGTGTGCTTATCGTGGTGCACAGAGTGGCCGCCCCGCCCAGGTGTTCCGAATGCCAGCCCCTCCCGGGCCAACGGCCCCCACTGCGCATAGAATGAGTTCAACGGTCCCAAGGCCTGTCAATGAAAAAGTGCTTAGCCTGAGGTCGGGCATGTCCCCCTTGTTGGGCGAAAAAACTAAAATAATACGACAACACATACTCAAACATAATCAAACATCGTTCCCAGGCTGTTATTAAATTAGTGTTGAACATTTCTCCTGTAGAGGGACAAGCCCGACTTAAGCTTAGCCCTGGCCAGGACTCCTGCCAGCCTCACTGAGCTCTTCCAGGGACACCGCTTACCCACGGCCCACCAGACGCTCGGGGCTAAGTCGGACGCCAAGTTGCAGAGCGCGCCCCTCCTCTGCGGCCCGCGGCGGTAGTGGCAGCTCTCGAGGCTGCGAACAGCCTAGAGCCCGTGCCTGATGCGGCTGGTGCTGATTCGAGCTCGGCCTGCGATGGGGCGTCTGGTGTGCCTGCTGCAGCTGCTGTCGAGCTCGATGGGCACCAGGTGTTGGTGACCCCCGCGGCCATGGCCTGTATCACATGTGGCTCCTGCTGGGATTGTCACTGCTAGGTGATTGTTCGAGACCTTCCGAGCTTGGTCCCGCGAGGTACAAGCAGAATCGCGATGTATCTGCCATCATGGCGGGAAGGCATCCCCACATAAAGCAAGCCCTTCTGATTGCTGGTTATCATAGGTTTAGACGCTTCGCGTCTGACCGATTTGCTTTGAGTTCGAGGGGAGCGAATCATGAGTTGGCCCATGCTCCCGCTCGTCGGCTGCACGATTTGGTCAGCCTGGTGGTCCTCCTCCTCTCTTATCTGTCCGCCTCCATTCTCCTCTCCCGCCTCTCTCCCCATGCCTCCTCCTCCCCCATTCCTCCCTGCCCCCCCCCCCCACTCCCACCCCTGCCCCAGGCAGAGAGGAGGGAGAGGCTGGACGGGTGAAGAGGAGCAGCAGGAGACCAACGACGACGAAGAGTTGACGACCGTCCTCGACGACCTCGACGGACTCGACCACCTCGACGACCACAACCCTGACGACGACCCGGACGACGACGACGACGACGACGACGACGACGACGACGACGCCGACGCCGACGCCGACGCCGACGCCGACGCCGACGACGACGACGACGACGCCGACGCCGACGCCGACGCCGACGACGACGCCGACGACGACGACGACGAGCCGCGCCGCGCCCCGCGCGTGGCCGAGTCCTAGAGCCGCCCAGCTGGCCATCAGCCACTGGCCACGTGGCACCCAGCGCCTCCAGTGCATGCACGAATGCTTGCATGCATGCATGCATGCATGCATGCATGCATGCATGCATGCATACATATGTGCGTGCACGCATGCATACGTGCATGTATACACACATGCCTGCATACACACGCATACCTACATACGTGCATGCATACATACATACCTATGGGCATGCAAACATTAATTCATGCATGCGCACACATGCATGCATGCATGCATGCATGCAAACGTACATGCATACGTGCGTGCATGCGTACATGTGTACATGCACGCGTACTTACATACATGCGTACGTACATACATGCATACATGCATACATGCATACATGCATACATACATGCATGCATGTATACATATATACATATATATATGTATGATCGCGGGCTCCGAGCCCACGGGCCCTCCTCCTCCTTCTCCTCCTCCTCCGCCTCCTCCTCCTCCTCCTCCTTCTCCCCCCTCCCCCTAATCCTCCTCCTCCTCCTCCTCCCTCCTCCTCCTAATCCGCCGCCTCCGCCTCCTCCCCCCTCCTCCTCCTCCTCCTCCTCCTCCTCCTCCTCCATCTCCTCCTCCTCCTCCTCCTCCTCCTTCCTATTCCTCCTCCTCCCTCCTCCTCCTTATCCTCCTCATCCTCCTCCTCATCATCATCATCCTCCGCCTCCTCCTCTTCCTCCATTCCTTCTCCTTACTCCTCCCTGCCGCACCCCGAGGCCAGTTGTTAGGGCGCGCCTGAGACTTCCTCACCACGTATGACTCTGAAGCTTAAGCAGTGACAACAGCTTCACAGATGGAGTGCAAGTCGATTTCAAAATGTGGCTCTCGCCTCAGCGCCGCGCACATTCGCTTTGAAAATTGCCAGAGCTTCACGGATTGAGGGTGGGTCGTTTTCAAAGTGTGGCTCTCGCCTTAGCGCCGCGCTCATTCGCTTTTAAAAATGTGCAAGAGCTTCACGGAATGAAGGCGGGTGGTTTTCAAAATGTGGCTCTCGCCTTGGCACCGCACACCTTCGTTTTCAACATGTGCAAGAGTTTCACGGATTGAGGGCGGTTACTTTTCGAAATGTGGCTCTCGCCTTAGCGCGACGCACATTCGTTTCAAAATTTGCAAGAGAGTTTCACTGATTCCCATGATCAACGTACCAGGAATCCTGTGATGGAAGGATTCGGGAGCATGCGGGCGCAATAGTTATTTTGATTCGCGGTGTTGAAGTCCCAAAAATGGCGCTCTGGCACGATTCCGGACCGTCAAGACGTAGCAGTCAGGTTGATACGTGGCGTTGAAATCCCGAGAACAATGTTCTGGCATGCTTCAGGATCTTCAAACGGTTATCTTCCAACGAGGCAGTTCCATCAATGGAAATGAACCGTTGTGGGGGCCGATGAAGAGGGAGCTTGGAGGGAGGGTGAATTCCAACATCTTTGATGACTCTTGGTTGTACACTGGTCCTAATCCTCCTCCTCCTCCTCCGCCACCTTCTCCTCCTCGTTCTACCTCCTCCCCCGTCCTCCCTCCTCCCTCCTGCCATCGTTCTACCTCCTCCTCCTCCTCCTCCTACTCCTCCTCCTCCTCCTCCTCCTACTCCTCCTCCTCCTCCTCCTCACCTCCTCCTCATCCTCCTCCTCCTCCTCCTCCTTACTCCTCCACCTCCTCCTCCTCCAACTTCTACCACCTCCCCCGGTCTACCTCCTCCCCATTCATCCCTCCTCTCCTCCTCCTCCTCCTCCTCCTCCTCCTCCTCCTGCCTCCTCCTCCTCCTCCCCCTCCCTCCTCCTCCTCCTCCTCCTCCTCCTCCTCCCCTCCTCCTCCTCCTCCTCCCCTCCTCCTCCTCCTCCTCCTCCTCCCCCTCCTCCTCCTCCTCCTCCTCCTCCTCCTCCTCCTCCTCCTCCTCCTCTCCTCCTCCTCCTCCTCCTCCGCCTCCTCCTCCTCCCCACACCACCCCTCCTCCCCTACACCACTCATCCTCACCCTCCTCATTCATCCTCACCCTCCTCCTCCCACCACCCCTCGCTCCCGAGCAACAGGAGCAGCGGCAGCTGTGGCGCCTCCAGCGCGCCAGCGCTGGGCGCGCGCGAGGGGCCCCGGGAGCCGCCCGCACCGACCGAGCTGCCGCCGCTGCTCGCGTCCAGCCTCCTTCGGGGAGGAAAGAACTGCCTAGGAGCAGAATTTCGGCGGCATGCCCTGAGATCTTGGCGTTTCGAGTTGCTTGAGCCAGGAGTTCTCCCCCCTGTTTCGGGCCCCAGGGCCCTCACGGATCGGTCCGGCTCGAAGCATGGCGCAGAAAGAGGGGGTCCAAGACTCTGGCCATGATTTGTCACGATGCTGCCGTTTGCTCGCTTCACCGGATCTAAGCACGAGCGAGAGCATAAGGTCCCAGCAGCAAAAAGCATGAGCATAAGCATCGACCTGAGCACAAACATAAACATGAACACATAGATGAGCAAAGCACAAAACGAATACACCTGGACTCTGGGAACACACCTGGCTGGAAGCACGCATACGGAGCAGGCGGAGGCCACATGCTGGATACGCGCGTGGAGGATCAGCGCGCCTGAACGCACGGAGGCCGAGCGCTGGAAAGATATCCCTGGACACGTGTACATAGCTCTCGCCCAGGCCTGTCACGCTATGTGCATCCAGCTTGCTGGTGTGTCGACGGAGCTCCCTAAACGCCAGGGTCGAAAAAGTAACAGGCAGAAGAGGCTGGAAAGAAGAGCAACCTCGGCTGAAATGGCCTGCGGAAGACGTGGGAGACATCGCAAACGAATCAAAGCGCGCGTGGCTAAAATAGGCGGATGACGCGGATCACCGTCATGACGAACCACTTGGCCATTGGCGGCGCAATTCTTCTGGATCTACCAGCACAACCCAGGGAATGAAACTCGGCAGCGTCATCAATTCCGGATGCCCCCTCGACATAGCTCGAGATCTGCTCCAGGGAGCGGGGAGGAGCAGGGCTGTGAGAGCATGCAGCGACGCCCGGCAGGGGAGCGGGGGGGAATCGGACGCGCCGCCCTCGGCTCCTCGCGCGGTGCTGCGCGGCCCGCAGGAACCTCTCGCGCATCTGCCGCGTCTCGTGCTCCAGGTCCACCTCGCCGACCAGGAAGTCGATGACGGCGAACTGCTGGAAGGCGCGCCGCAGCAGCTCCCCCTCGCCCCGGAGGCTCGCGAGGGCCAGCAGGGCCTGCAGGTGGAGGCGGCACATGGGCACGCAGCCCTCCCCGCTGGCGGGGCCCTTGCTGTGGTAGAAGCGCGCAAGCTCGAGGAAGTGCCGCCTCCAAAGGCGAAAAAAAACGGCATAAACTTGGGGGCCTGGAAATGGGCACCAACACCAACACAGGGGGTGCCTCCACGGGGGAAGATGGTCCTAGATTTCGGTGTTGGTGGGAATATGTCGGTCACCTTGGAAGCCAGAGCATTGCCGGCGTTACCGAGATCGGGATCTTCTTCCCTCGGTGGAGGCGCACCGCCGGTATTGGTGTTGGTGCCAACCTCTAGGCCTACGATAAACATAAACTCTTGACGCTCCGCGCGGATTTCTTGGATCTGCGCTGGACACCCCTCGCTGGGGCGCGGAGCGCGCCAGGGGCGGCGCCGGAGGCGCCGCTGGGGGGCCCAGCGCGGATCCAAGAAATCCGCGCGGAGCGCCAAAAAAGTTTATGCTTATAGCGTTGTGTGTTTTTTTTCATCTTCGAGCCTCACGTAATACTCCGCTATGTGGCCCTCGCTCGCGTACACCAGGCCGCCGGCGCCAGGGACCCGGAACAGCGCCAGCTCGCACGCTGCGAGGCGCTTGTGCAGCGGGCCAGCGGCGGGCGGCAGCCTGGGGAGCAAAATGGCACCGATGCCGCACCTCTTACATGCCCTCAGGAAAATTGAATGCGAGTCCAAAAACATGGAAGCATATTCCGAAAATAAAATGAAAATCGCCCCCAGAGTGTTTGTTACCGTTTCTGTACATTCCTCCCGTACTTAGAGGGACAAGCACGACTTCACGCTACCCTAGACCAGCGCGCTACACGACTCGCAAAGTATCTGCTCGCCAACGGCATGGATCCGTCGCGTGGGATGTCTGCTCCAACACATAGGAGGAAGGCATGCGTCTTGTTCGGGCGTTTGCCCGTGGGCACAGTTGAGAGCAGTGGAGCGCGCTCGGTGATACCCCCTGGACATCTCTGGGGGTGCGCTCTGACCAGGATTTCGAGGCGGACCCAGAGGTGGCGACGAGACCCTCCCAGGGCCCAACAATCGAGTAGGGGATCGACTACAGACCTAGCTTACCCCAAAATGGAATATAATGTGCAGGACGCCTCGTAGATCTACGGGGCAGTCTACGCATTTGTAGTAGACTGGACGGAAAATTAGTCCTGGGGCAAATCACCTCTGCAACCGGTCCCCAACTTGGAGCAAATCGAAAACGAGGCGAAGGTAGCGGTATCGGTACCTCCTCCTCCTCCGACAGCCTGCCCGCGAGGCAGCAGACGAGGCCCCGGGGCGGCACGAAGAGGCAGCGGCTCCACTGGAGGAGGCTGGACACCTCGGCCGCGCGCACAAGGGGGGGGCAGAGGGGGAGGGGGAGCCGTCTTAGAAAAAAAGGAGCCTGCTTCCGAGGAGGCGCGGGCCTTCCATCTACAGCCGAGGCCCGCGCCTTCTAAGAAGCAGGGGTGGTCCTATAGAAAAAGGAAACAGCGGCAGAAACATAAACTGTGGGCGCTCCGCGCGGATTTCTTGGATCTGCGCTGGACCCCCCCCCCACCCTGGCGCGCGGAGAGCGCCAGGCGCGGCGCCGGAGGCGCCGCCGGGGGAGCCCAGCGCGAATCCAAGCAATCCGCGCGGAGCGCCAAAAGTCTATGTTTATGGCGTTGTTTCTTCTTCGAGCTTCTAAAGTCTTCCCCCCCTGCCCCTACTCGGGGGCGGCCACGAGGGGGGCGTCCCAGAGGGTGGGGCGGGGGGGGGGGCGCAAATCATGGCCGGCGACATGTGCGCGGCCCAGGGGGGGGCGGGAGACGCATCGAAACAAGACGAGGCGACATGGAATCTGGGGATATCATGGCCCCCGCCATGATTTCCACCCCGCCTAGAAGGAGAAGGAAGAGGAGGAGGAGGAGGACGAGGAGGAGAAGGAGGAGGAGGAGGAGGAGGAGAGGAGAGGAGGAGGAGGAGGAGGAGGGGAGGAGGAGGAGGAGGAGGAGGGAGGGAGGAGGAGGAGGAGGACGAGGGAGGACCCCCTCTTGGCCGCCCCTGCCCCTACCCCCCTTTGTGCGCGCGGCCGGGCACCAGGTCCCCAGGGCCACCAGCCGTGGAAGCCTCGAAGTCCGCTGCCGGCTCCAGGCTGCCTCTGCAGGGGGGGGCGACGATGGGGGCGCACAGCCAATGTGCTTAGCCATATAAAAACACCCCTCAATGCCGACCCCTCCTCCGCCTCCTCCTCCTCGCTCCCTCTCCTCCTCCTCCTCCTCCTCCTCCTCTCCTCCTCCTCCTCCTTCTCCACCTCCTCCTCCTCCTCCTCTGCCTCATAGTAGTATTAGTTGTTATCCTTCTTCTTCGCAGTATTATTATTATTACTAGTATTATTAGTATTATTAGTATGGATATTATTAGAAGTAATCTTATTAGTAGTATTATGAATAAGTCTATCATTATTAATATTATTAGTATTATTATCAGTATTAGTATTATCAGTATGCTTATTATTAGTAGTATTTTAAGTATCATTATTTTTGTGATCATTAATTTTATTACTATTACTACTACTACTATTATTATTGTTATTCGTATTTCCATCACTACTACGAATAGTAATATTATAGTTACTGTTATTAGTAATATTATGAATCCTAATACTAATAACAGATGATAATAAATATAATTAGCATTGTTAGTAGTAGTAGTAGTAGTAGTCGCAGTGGTATTCGTATTATCATATTCGTCGTAACATTCTTATCCGTATGCTGATGAGTATAGTGAATACTATTATTAATACTATTAGAAATAACAATAATAGAATTATTATCGGTATTAATAGTACTAATATTTGTAGTAGCTTCTTCTTACGATTCATAAGATTAGTCTTCTTAGTATTAGTATTCGCATTCGTGTTAGTATCAGTCTTAATATTAGTATTAGTATTATTATTAGTATGTGTCGTATTACTATTCTCGTATTACTAGAAGTGGTACTAAGTAGTCTTAGTATTCGTGGTAGTCTGCGTATTAGTGTCCGTCTTCGCATTCTTAGTAGCATTGGTAGTATTCTTCGTACTAGTATTATGATGATTCGCATTCGTGATTATTATTTGTATTATGACAATTCTTGGTATTACTATTAGTAGTCTTGATCGTATTCTTAGTATTCCTCCTCCTCCTCCTCGCTCCTCGCTCCTCGCTCCTCGCTCCTCGCTCCTCGCTCCTCGCTCCTCCTCCTCCTTCTCCTCCTCCTCCTCCTCCTCCTTCTCGCTCCTCCTCCTCCTCCTTCTCCTCTTCCTCCCTCCTCCTCCTGCTCTTCCTCCTCCTCCTCCTCCTCCTCGCTCCTCGCTCCTCGCTCCTCGCTCCTCGCTCCTCGCTCCTCACTCCTCGCTCCTCGCACCTCGCTCCTCGCTCCTCGCTCCTCGCTCCTCGCCTCCTCCTCCTCCTCCTCCTCCTCCTCCTCCTCTCCCCTCCTCCTCCTCCTCCTCCTCCTCCTCCTCCTCCGCCTCCTTCTCCACCCCCTCCTCCTCCTCCTCCTGCTCCTCTTCCCCTCCTCCTCCTCCTCCTCCGCCTCCTCCTCCTCCTCCTCCTCCTCCTCCTCCTGCTGCCTCACCTGAGGGGACCTAAGTTAGGAGGGCCAAAAGAAAGCACTAGAAAAGTGGTTGCTTCGACAGAGGTATTGCACCAAACAGCCCAGAAGTATGATCCCTGATGCAAAGAAGGGAACCCCAGTGAGGCCACATCTTCTTCACTGCGTTACCAGGGTCAAGGGGCCTTTCACTCTCGAGGACCAGGGGGGAGCGACACATGTATCCAAAGGGCGCCGATCGTCCGTGCCTTCGGCGAGGCTCCCTGGCGGATACGTGTACCCAGACATGCGACGTCTTGATTTGTTCCATTCGGGCTCCCTGGAAATCCCGGCCCCTCCCCCGGGACCGAGCCCGGCGAGGGCCCCCCCGAGGCCGAAATGGGCCAGAAACCTCCCGCCCGGATGTTTTGTCACGACGCGACCCTGTCCCCAGACCCCCGACGTCATGATTTGTCATTACGTCAACCCCTGGAATCCCCTGGACCAGCTTTCCGTCCTGAGTGGTTCTCTCATGGTCCCGCACCTGGCGAGGGCCCCCCCGAGGCCGAAATGGGCCAGAAACCTCCCGCCCGGATGTTTTGTCACGACGCGACCCTGTCTGGGTACTGCCCGCCCCTGGACAATGCGGCGCGATCCTCCGACCCCATCTACTCCGACCCCATCTAGGAGGCCTCCAGCAATATGGGGGAGGAGGAGGAGGAGGAGGAGGAGGAGGAGGAGGAGGAGGAGGAGGAGGAGGAGAAGGAGGAGGAGGAGGAGGAGGAGAGAGGGAGGAGGAAGGAAGGAAGGAAGGAAGGAAGGAAGGAAAGGAAGGAAGGAAGAGGAGGGGAGGGGAGGAGGGAGGGGGAGGAGTAGGAGGAGAGCGAGGAGAGGAGGACGAGGAGGAGGAGGAGGAGGAGGAGGAGGAGGAGGGAGGGGGAGGAGGAGGAGGAGGAGCGAGGAAGAGGAGGAGGAGGAGGAGGAGCGAAACTGCTCGCCCCTCTCGCCGCCTCCAGCCCTGCGCCTGCTGGCTGCCTGCTCGCACTGCTCGGCGAGGGCCAGGGCACCGACCAGCTCCAGCAGCGCCTCCACGAAGTCCAGGGCGCAGCACGCTGGCGTGTCGCTCCTGTCCTTATGTAGGTCGGGCAGGTGCACACTATAGTCACACGAGACATGCGCATAAATAGTCGAGAAATTTTCGATCTCAAATCGTCTCCCGACTTGTTGGTGTTTTCGGTTTAATTGTGTGTATACATATTTACGTATACATATATATATAGAGAGAGAGAGAGAGAGAGAGAGAGAGAGACATATACCTATACATATATATATATATATACACAAGGCTGCATTGGCGCTTCGCGCCATGCTCTTTGTTCTGGACCCTCCCCAGCAAAGCAATAAGTCATCGCTTGCTTCATCGGGGGGGACCTCGAAGCCTGGACGGGTGACCGGCTCATTTTTCTGATATCTCTGGTGCCTGCTGACACCGCGTTCGCCCGATGCGCTTGCACGCTTGTGCGCAGGAGCCGGGGAAATGATGTTTGTTTCACGCGCGAAGGTCCTTTGAAGAAGTAAGGAGCGTTCCCATGACACGCCGAAGAAGTCGCAGTAGCACCGAAGAAATCTACTTTTGGTAGCTTCCTGAACGCCTGGAAGGCTCCAGGCAGTCAGGAAGTCTTCGATCGTCGAACTTCGAATCTAAATCCATTGCCTGTCTCTCTCAATCGAGGAACTGAAACCTCGAGCCTCAAGCGTGGAACCAAAATCGTCGGGTCAGCTCGGGCGTTTGGGGGGCTCTTTTGGGCCGTCCTGGGGCCCTCTTGGGCCGTCCCGGGGCCTTCTTGGGCCGTCTTGGGGAGCTGGGGCCCTCCAGAGGTCTCTGAAGCCATCTAGGGCCCTCTTGGGGGCCTTCAATGGCCTTCTTGGGGGTCTCCCATGGCTTTCGTGGGTCTCTCTTGGGAGCCTTCTGGGGGCATCTTGGGTTTCTTGCGGGCAGTCTCGGGGCTCTCTGGGGCAGTTTTGGGGCCCTCTTGGGCCGTCTTCGAAGCCTCTGGGGTGCCTCTTGGGCCGTCTTGGGGCGATATCGGGAGCCTATAGGGCCGCTTTGGACGCTGCGAAGTCCCAAACAGCGGATCCCGAAGGAATGGGACGATGTTTGCTTCTTCGGGGCTCCCTTAACAGCCTCTTGGGGCGTTTTGGGGGCCTCTTGGGCCGTCTTCAGACCATCAAGGTTCCTCTTGGAGCGCTCTGGTGCTGTCTTGGGTTTCTCTTGCGCCTCTCCGATGACCCCTCTGATCACCTTGAATCTGCTCGCAAGGCCCGGCAAGGCGCCCTGGGAGGCCCGGAAGGGCCAGCAGACCTTTCTCAAGGGCCTCCAGGGGGCCGCTGAAACGTCCGAAAAGGTGCCCAGAAAAACAAAAAAAACGCCACGAACATAAACTTTTGGCGCTCCGCGCGGATGTTTTGGATCTGCGCTGGACCCGCCTCCCTGGCGCTCGGCGCTGGAGGCGCCGCCAGGGGGGGCCAGGGCGGATCCAAGAATTCCAAACGGATCGCCAAAAGTTTATGTATATGGCGCCCTGCTTTCGAAAATGCACATACGTACAAATACATATACGCAATCATATACAAATGCATAGAAAAAATATACATAACGATATGTATACATATACATATATATATATATATAAACAGATGCAAATATATACGTGCATATGTATATACATATATACGTACACGTACAATACATATACATTTACATATACATATGAATGCACATGAACATATACATGTACATAGATCCATACCTATACATATATATATATATATATATACATATATACGTGCACGTATGCACATACATACACCTATAGAATTAAATATGCACAAACATGTACATATACATGTATACATATATGTGTGTGCATCGATAGATATATATATATATGTAGATACAGACATACATACATATGTATATATGCTCTGAACACTCTCGCTTGCCAACGCAGATGAATGTTCCAGAGAGGTAGCAGGCTACCAAGGGTTGACGACACAGGTGCTTGCTGCGAACGGAACTTATAACTGAGCGCGCTCGCTCCCACGATTGACGACAAACAAAATGTGAGAAAGGAAAGGAAGGAGGAGGGGAGGGCAGGTGGTGCACTCGAGCCCGATGTCCATGGATGCACATCGGTTTATCGAGGCGGATGCGCTACAGCTTAGAGCACTAACGCTTGAAAAACTGAACCCTGCTCTGAACACTCTCGCTTGCCAACGCAGATGAATTTTCCAGAGAGGTAGCAGGCTGCCAAGGGTTGACGACACAGGTGCTTGCTGCGAACGGAACTTATAACAGAGCGCGCTCGCCCCCATCTTCCCGAATCGATTCTGGCTAAGCCGCATGAGCTTGCTCACAAAGAAAGAGACGCGAGATGATTGAGCTGGATTCGGCCGGAGGTCTGCACAAGCAAAGAAGCGGCTCCACGGGCGAACGAATTAGGATATTCTTCGGCCCGAGCTGTGAGGTTCCTGGGGCCCCCGGGTCCGCGGCCCTGGAGGGCCACGGGAGGCCACAGGGTGCGACTGCACATCCCTTGGACCCCAGAACACCGTTTGCAAAGCGCTTTGGGCGGAGCCCCTACATTCCACCCCACGACTTCTAGTGGGCTTCTTCCAGGCTTGGTTGCGTTGGCACATGTGTGCCACGAACTCTTTACAACTATCTAATTGCGTGAGATCCAAGAGGGCAGGACACTGCCAGAGAAAACTGGACTGGGGGGTTCCATCGCTACTAGGATACCTGCTGCCAGACACGCACGAACCACACATACTGAAAAGAGAGCTGTTGCATCACCGAACTGTACTTTGACTGCATTTTTGTCTGAAAGATCGGGCCTGCCATATGTATATGCCGGGGTGTGCGGAATGTGTTCCGCCTCGCGACGCTCCACGTCGAGCGCGGGGGGGAAAGCCAGACGGCCCGCACGACTCGACTCCCGATCCAACCTCGAATTCTTTTGAGTGCTGCATCCGATGACAAATCAAAAGCTGGGTCGGCCTTGACATCGAGGCGGAGGGCTGGCAATCCGCTCAGCCTCTCAAGCCACCTGCCGACGCGGCCTGTTCCCGCAAAGAGATCTAGGAATGCCTGCGCCTTCCGAGGGTGGAAGCCTAGCGCCTGGTCTAGCGCAGCTCGGAGCCTGCCCTTGACCGACGCGGCCGACAGCTGGAGGGCAGAGCCGAGGGTGTCTCCTGAGCGCCAGAGCTGTCCGGCTGCTAGCGCCGCGGCCTTTTTACCCCGGGAGGCGCGGCCACGGCCTTGCGCTTGGTGATCAGGGCCTCGAAGTTGGCGTCCACGTACTCTCCGTGCTGCTTCGTGTCGGGCGCCAGCTGGTCCAGCTCGCGGAGGTATCGGGCGTGCTTCTTGCACCGTCGTGTCGATGCCTCTTGTGCGTGCCTCAGCCTCTCCTGGATCGTCTTCATGTCCCGACTCTGGTGGAGGGCGTCGGCGCTGGCGGACCCGTGACGCACCTGGTAGGGGTTCAAGTCCGGGAGGCCAGCCAACTGCGCCACCTTGCGGAACAGCACTCGGAATTTCGCGGCTGAGAAGGACCACAATGGCTGGCTTGGCCCGGCACGTCGTACCAGCGCCGCCAGCAGCGGCCCCATCGCCGTCACCCTGTCGCTGTCCAGCAGGCACCCCTCGCCCCACTGGCCGGTCTGGCTCCTGGGCTGCTTCTCCTCGCGGTACAAGAGCAGCGCCCGGTGAGACACCCCTGTGGTCCGCTGGGGCGGGATGAGCGAAGAGTCGGTCATAGAGATGAAGTCGTTGGGGAGCCGGAGGCAGGCGCACCACGCAACCTCCAGGGCGATCGCCAGCTCCTGCGCCCCCAGGAACAGCGCCGCACCCACCAGAGCCGCCAGCCCCGGCCGCGGCAGGGGCGCCCGCGACTGCCCGGGGGCCCGCTTGCGGAAGCCTCTCAAGGCTGCGCGGGCCCGCGGCAGCGCCTCCACTGACTGGTGCAGCCCGTGGACGTCGAAGTACTTGACCGCTGCTATCAGCTTTTCTCCTTGATCGTGATTGAGGCCCTTGAAGAAGAGCGAGTCCACGTGGGCGGACAGGGCCTGGTCCAGCTCCTCCGGCGTCTTCAGCTTGAGGTCCTGCTCCTCGGCCCACCTCTCGAACTCGCTCAGGATGACCCGGTAGCACGCCGCCGTCCGCGGCTACGCCCGCGAGGCCTGCATGTAGCCCAAGGCCGCGGCCGCCGCCTCCCGCGCCGCCTCCCTCTGCGTCTGCCTCAGCGCCGCCCGGCGGCTCCTCCTCGCCTGAGCTGCTTGAAAGCTGCTCCACGACGCCGCGGCAACTCCACCTGGAGTCGACTCGGCTGGCTCGAGCTGCCGGCCGACGGCCGCCGCAGGCTCGTCCAGCCAGGTGCCCCCGAGGCCGCAGAGGCCGGCGGCCTCGGCCCCGCCTGGCTGGCGGAGGAGGTGGTTGTCGATCTCCCCCTCGAGCGCCAGGTCGAAGCGTGCGCCGGCCGCGTGAGCACCAAGGTGCCATGCGGATCGTGGATCTGTCCGAGGGCCCCTCGGCTCGGGCCGAGACGGCAACGCTCTCGAAGGTCGGTCTGCTGGGTTGATCTTGGCAAACAAACTGAGTGCAAGAACCTCTTGACACGAACGATTGACTGTTGAAGTAGATCCCCGGCCCTTGCTGAGGGCCAACACCATGGACATGTTTTCACATAGGAACAAGTGACGAGCTCCCTGGGACACCCGAGAACGTAGGCGATGCCGAAGCCCCAGTACCACCCCTCGCCCCTCAGTACGCAAGATGTTCTCCTGACGAAGCCAACGACCTTTTGCGCACAGGCGCCAGCTGCTGTCGTCGCCCATCTGGCTGGGCGTGATATGGTCGAAAGATACCCCTGCCTGTCGGGACATTGGGCGCTTAGGCCCTTGTTCCTGCGGCAGGCCGAGGGTCTGAGCACGAGCAGCGATGGTATCTGAGACGCACCACCGCCACTTCTCGGCCTGCCCCGCCGCGGCCCTCACGCTCACGAGGTCCCAGTCGGTCTCCATCACGCGGCGCCCGCCGAAGTCGTGGCGGCTGGGCCCTGAGGCGTCGGACGCGGCCACGACCGTGCTGTAGGGCCGCTCGGCGTCCACGAACGCGAAGCAGACCAAGGCCGCGGCCCGCCGAAGCTCGGCCTGCATGGCCAGAGCCCCCACCTCCCGGAGCCGGCCAGCGCGATGAACCTGTAGGTCTGCGCGAACACGCTCAGTAGTTCACGCCGCAGGATCGCTGCCCAGCACCAGTGGCCAAGGAAATGCCGAAGCTCGTCTCCCGAGGCCCACCCACGGGAGGCCGCGTGCAGGAGAGCCAGCCTCAGCTTCCACGTCCGCGACCGCGAGAGCCGTATCTTGCCGGAGGAGACCTCGAAGCTCAGGCCTGTGAAGGTGGCGTCCGACCCAGCCGCCTCCACGCCCTTGCACTTCAGGCCCAGCGTCTCCAGCTCGGTGGCGACCCGCTCGCAGTCGGAGGTCACCAGGTCGGCCTCGAGCCCCACCACCGCGACTCCGCCCACGCAGACGGCGACCCGGTTGCGGTCCGTCACAGGCGGGGCTGCACGGCGGCCCCGGATGAAATCGGACAGGGCGAAGCCGGCAGCCTGGACGCCAGCCATCACCATACAGTGGCAAAAGTAAAGACTCCACGTCCACCCCGTGGGAAGCACCTCTAGGCAAGGTGACGCCCACGTCTCGATCCCCGCCGGAAGCTGATCTAGGAGGTCTGGCCTCAGCTTCAGCAGGGTGGGAAGGTGAACAGTCCTCAAGACGAACATCTCCTGCGCCCCGCACGGCAGGCCGATCCTGTAGAACGCGTTGTCCACGTCGGCCTGGGCGAGGTGCAGCTCCTGGTCCATCGGGGCCTCCAACGCTGACCAAGCCCCCGCCGTCGGGAGCACTGCGCGCGCTGGAGCTTCAAACAGATCATTGACACGCCGAGGGTCAATGATTAAACGCTGCATACTATTCGATTTGTGCACAAAGGAGGCGCCCACTGTCTCCTCCCGCTGCTGCTTCAAGGAGACTACGCCGGCGTCCAACAGGTCACCAACAAACTGGGCACAAGTAGCTCGGGAACGAAACTTGTCGTCGTAGTGGGGCTTGGGCGCCTGGCTGCCGCCCTCGGGCTGCCGCTTCAACAGCTGCCTCCATCCTACCCATTGCTGTAGAGCTTCTCCCTCCAGGATGCGGCTGCCATCGGCGAGGCCGCCCCCCCCCCGGCAGAGAGACCAGGGACCGGTCGTAGGACGCGATGTGCTCCGGCTCGAAGACGCAGCCGTGCCCAGGACCGCACAGCTCTCGATGGGCTGCCGCGGCGTTGCAAGCTGGCGGCGGCCCGGCATCCTCCACCACGTGCCTGACGTGCCCCATCCCACACTGCTGCGCGAGCGAAGCCTTGCCGTCGACGGGCAGCGACCCGCGGCCGTACAGCTCATTGATTGAAACTAGAACTTCCTGCACCCAGGCGCGGAGGTGCTCCTTCCTGCGGAGGCGGCTCCTCGCAGCACGGCTGCAGGCGCCCACTGGGAGCGCGGGCGGCGGGCCCGCGGGGAGGGCCACTGGCAGCAGCTCCCGCGGGACCGCCATGGGGGGCTCGTAGACTACTTGGCCCCCCGGCCGCCACCGCGGCCGCGTCCTCCGCCAGCGCCTCCGTCGCCAGCAGGTGCACTCTCTCCGACCTTGTCCATCAGCCCACGGATCTCCGCGGCCTGGGCGCTCACCTTCTGCTGCAACCCCTGCGTCGCCGCCGCGGAGGCCCCACCCGCGCCCCCACTGTCGGGGGAACGGCTTGCCTGCCGCTCCTCCTTCAACTTCCTGCGCTCCTTCATCACGGCGGCCTCCTTGTGGAGCTGTTCGGTGATGTGGTCCGAGAGGTCCAGGCTCACCATCACCAGCCCCCGCGTGGGGCCTGCCCCCATGTAGAGGAACTCGTCCTCGGCGAACTCGTCTCCACCATGCTTCCCCAAGATCATGTCACGATACCTCATCTCCGCGAGCTGCGCCCTCCTCAGCAGGAGCTCGAAGCTCGCAAGCTCCGTGATGTTGAGCTGGTGGTAGACTACGGCCAACTCTATCATCCTCATCGCCAGCTCGTGGCCCTGACAACCAACATCCTGGCCACCCACCCCCGCTTCATGTCTCCATTTCGTGTGCCGCGCGCGGGGGTGGGTGTCTTGCTCTGCAATAAAGTCGAGACACCACCGCGCGGTCCTGGGGCCGAGAATCGGCCACGCCGCCCAGCTCGTCTCGGTCATCTCCTTCACGCTATGGATGATGCTGAGCACACGCGCGTCCGAGTCCAGGCCGTCGTCGACGCCCGTGCTCCTCCGCAGCAGCAGCACCTCCGAGCCCCTCACAGCGAGGCCTCCGACGTCGCAGACAGCGAACTCGTCTACGTTCAAGCTGCTCAGCAGCGACTTGCGGGGGGTTGCGCCCGTGCTCCAGACCACCTGCCAGCCGTCGGGCGACGGCGTCGGCAGCGATCGAAAGCCGACCTCAATCAGATTCGCCGCCGTTCCACCCCCAGCCGCCGCTGCTCCCAGCCGTGGCTCCTGCCACTGGTCGCCGAGGGACAGCTTGATCATCTTGGCGAGCTCCAGCGGCGTGGCGCTCCAGTGCGTGCCATACACGCGAGTGCGGTTGGTGAACCGGCTGCCGAGGAGGGTCGCTCGATCTGGTCGGCCCGCGTCGTCGCACAGGATCAACCCGCTGAGCGGCCCCCCGTCCAGGCAATGAGGGTAGGCGTCGCCGTCCGGTGTCCCGCACCACCAGACCTTCCCAGCCGCTATCTGATCGGGAGTCGCTTGAACCTCCATGATCGACAGCCGCTCGTCGGCCGTGGCGGGGGCGATGGCGACGCGGGCCTGCCAGTCCTGCCCATCCCTCCACTGCACGAGCAGCCTCCTGCCGGCCTCCACACCCATGGAGACACCCGCATCACAGAGCACTCGCCAGAATGAAGCCAAGAATGAACGAGGTACTCGCAAGGCCGCGAGCTCCGCCGAAGAGGTCCGGCACTGCTACGCACTCGCCTGTGTTTGCCACCACGGGCGCCAGCACACTTCTGACCGTCCGAGAAGCTTCCCGACCTCGGCTAAGTATACTCCAAGAATTGGAAAGAAAGGCAAGCTGCATGCGGGCTAGCCGCAAATTAATGCACTTGAGCCCGATGTCCATGGATACACATCGGTTTATCGAGGCGGCTGCGCTACAACTTAGAGCACTGACGTTTAGAAAACTGAACCCTATACATATATACATGTGTGTGTGTGTGCATCGATATATATATATATATATACACATACATACATACATACATATACATATACATATACATATACATATACATATACACTTACATATACATATACCTATACATATATATATATATATATATATTATATATATATATATATATATATATATTCCTCCTGTACAGGGACAATGCCCAACTTACTCCTGTCCTCGGCGAGCAGGCCCTCGAGCACAGCCGGCAGCAACGCCCAGGCGCCGGCGTGCTCCGGCGAGGCCGGGGCGCCGGCCGGGGCGCCCTGCGCTGCCGCCTCCAAGACGAGGCAAGGAAGAGGAGCCCAGACAGGGTCGCGTCGCAAAACAAACAAAACAAACAAAACAAACAAACAAACAAAAAACAAAAAACAAAAAAAAAAAAAAAAAAAAAAAAATGGGCGGGGGATGTTGTTGGCCAGTTTCGGCCTCGGGGGGCCCTCGCTGGGCCTCGGGACCGTCCAAACACGGCGCGGGGGGAAGCTCGAGGATCTCCGAGACCCGGCGGCTCCGGGCGGCAGCTCGGGCGCCGCGCGGCCTTAACCCGAGCGTGCCGAACACTCCAAGGGCGCCCCGGAACGCTCTGGGACGGACGTGGCCTCGTCCTATACCCAGGACGTCCGCCGACATGGTGTTTCATTCCGCGGAACCAGAGGTCCTGACCTTAAGCGGGCCCTGGAGACGACAGGGCCGTTTTTGTTACCGGTTCCGTTTTGCCGTTCTTATTGCCGGTCCCGACGCCGTTTGTTTTCCGGTTCCGTCGCCGTTCTTTTACGGGTTTCCGCTCCGGCTCCAATCCTGGAGCCGTTCTTGTTGCCGTTTCCGGTCGCCGTTGTTTTACCGTTTCAATTTTCAAGGGGCACTTTTTCGGAAACGGTGAAAAAACGGCCCTGCCGTTTCCGGGGCCCACTAACGTCCTGACCCTTTCCCCCGGGGAGGCGTTTGTCCTCCTGGACCCCTTCCTCATGGCCCCCCGGGGCCCCATGAGTGAGCGACCCCTGAGGCCGAAATCCAGGAGAAGCTGCCAGATTGAAAAAACATTAGGGAAACGAGCTCTGTATACACCGACGCTTGTTCCGGCCCTGCGTTGGAAGTTGCACCGGAAAGCGAATCCTGGTGTATACGGATCCTGGTGTATACATGTTTGGATGCTTCCCCCCAGGAAATTTGGAAACAAATACACACCACACGTCGTCCCCGACCCTCAAGAAGTCCTGGGATGGAAAAAACAACCCGCCACTGGTAATGTATATGACTACCTACCAAACCACCCCAACCCAACCCGAAGACCCGAGTTTTGACCCGAACTTCGGGTTGGGGGGGGTACGGGCCCCATGTGTTTTTTCAATGTTCCCCAACCCCCCTCTGGAAATCGACTGTAAATCTGAGCCTTCGGGTTGGGTTGGGGTGGCTTGGTGGGTGGTGAGGTAATAGTAGGGGAACAAGAAGTAGCATAAACATAAAAACTCTGAGGTCCGCGCGGATTTCTCGGATCGGTGCTGGACCACCCTCCCTGGCGCGCTCCGCGCGCCAGGAGCGGCGCCGGAGGCGCCGCTGGGGGGCCGAAGCGCCGATCCGAGAAATCCGCGCGGACCTCCGAGTTGTTATGTTTATGTCACTTGTTGTTCCCCTAACACATGTTCCAGCTTCCGACTTCAGGGTAGCCCCGTCCGACCGCCAATCGATATCTTCGCTCTCCGTTTCCTTCTCCTGTCCCTCCCTGCCTCTCCTCCTCCTCCTCCTCCTCCTCCTCCTCCTCCTTCTCCTCCTCCTCCTCCTCCTCCTCCTCCTGCCTCCTCCTCCTCCTGCTCCTCATCGGAATCTTCGAAATCGCCAAAACCAAAGAAAACCCTTCAGACAAACAACAACAACAACAACAACAACAACAACAACAACAACAACAACAACAACAACAACAACAACAACAATCACTTTACCCGAACGCTCAGTGTTCTCACCCAGTGCCAGGGTTTTCATGCGACGCCAGCCAATACCCCCACTTTGTGGGGGGGCAGTGCAAGCTCTACCAAATATCCACACGACTCTTCGCCACCACCCACACCCAGCTTCCCGCCCTATGACGTTCGGACACTTCACTTCGTGGCCTGCGGACGACCGTGGCTACTACACTGGCGTGGAGTACACACCCACAGAAGTTGTTTAACCAGTAGGGGGACGTTTTATTCTCGGCGGCCGAGGGCGCAACCTATGGCGCAACCAATAGGGGGACGTTTTATTCTCGGCGGCCGAGGGCGCAACCTATGGCGCAACCGCAAGGGATTGTGGCCCCTGGCAGGCGCGCGAACCCCGTTGCAAGAGCGTGCGAAAGTAGCTCGCGCGAGCTCATGTAACATAAATGTTGGAAAACCATTGGTTTTTTTTAGGATTCGGACAGCGCGCGCGGGTAGAAATTTTGAAAAGTCGTGCAGGTGTTTTTCGAGGACCTACGGTGCGATTCGTGTGATTTTATGATGCGCGGTGCTAAAATTCTTAAGAAGCCCAATGGGTTTTTGGAGATTTCGGCGTGCGCGCGCGAAGAAAAAACGAATGTGTCCCGCATGGTATTATTTGACAGGGATGATGGCCCTGGCAGGTGCGCAACCGTTGTCGCAGAAGTTCGAAAAAGTTGCTCGCAAAAGCCCGTTTGACAGAAATGTTTAAAAAGTGTTGGGTTTCCTACGAATCCGCAAGAGCGCGCGGGATGAGATTTTGACATTTTTTTGTTGAAAAACCATTGGTTTTTTGATGTTTTTATGTTAAAATCGCTCCGAACACTAAGCTTTTGGAAGGATTTCGTCTTGCGCGCGCGAATGTCCACTTTACCTTATTTTTTGCAAGGGATTCTTGAAATTTGATTATATTAGAACAAGAAATGTCATTTTATAGTGTTTTTTGCAAGGGAAAGCGGGGGGGAACAAAACAACCGGATCTTGATCACATCGTATTACCTGAGGTTTCCTCACGAAAATGATGAAAATGTAGCTGCGGCCTAGGCGGCGCAGGGGGGCCGTGCACCAGGGGTCCCAACAATAATTATTCTTTAGAATTAATAATGTTCAACAACAACAACAACAACAACAACAAAAACTTGCTCCAGCTTCCGACTTCAGGGTAGCCCCGTCCGACCGCCGTCGAGCCAGCACGGGAGCCCCGCTTGCGGGCGGGCGAGGGCGGCAGCGCCCCGTGCAGGGACGCCAGCGAGGCGGACTTGCCGATGCCCCTGCCGGACGCGGCCCCCGCGCAGGCGGGGCTGGCCGCCGCCGCGCGCGGCAGCTCCTGACTACCCACCAGGCCCAGACCCCCATCGGGCCAGGAAAAAAATCCTGACGAGAGGTTTTTGGCCAGTCTCGGCCGCGGGGGGCCCTCGCCGGGACTCGGGAGCGTCAAAAAACGACGCAGGACGAGAAACCGTTCCAGGGGAATGGGTCGAGACCTCCAGGGGTCGACGCAATAAAAAAATCATGGCGTCGGGGGTCTGGGGACCACCCCAACCCAACCCGAAGACCCGAATCTCGGGTTGGGGATCGGGGGCGCGCAAACATGGATCGGCGATCCATGGAGTGGGCGCGCGGTCGCCCGATCCATGGATCGGGAGAGGCGCCCTCCCCAAAATGCGGCTGGTGCCGCCTGGCGGAAATCCGCGATTTCCCACAGAAACGGGACCCGTCGCAAATCCACGCCCCCCTGATCCATGTTCTCGCGATCGCCCTGTAGGGGAGGGTACGGGCTGCGCCTGTGCTTCTTCAACGTTCCCCGCCCCCCCCCCCCCCTGGACATGGAGGGCAAGGCGAGGCCTTCGGGTTGGGCTGGGGTGGTTTGGTGGGTGGTGAGCTCCGCGGCACGGGGCCACGGCACAAAGTCCAGCAGCAGGGCGAGCAGCGGCTCGGCCAGCTCGCAGCGGCCGGCCGCGGCCGCGGCGCGGAGGAAGGCGCCCGCCAGCTGCAGGTAGGCCGCCCAGAGGCGCGCGGCCGGGCGCGGCAGCTGCGGGGTGGGCCGGCCGGCGCTGCAGAGGTGGCTCCTGAGCATGGCGAGCACGGGCCCCAGCACCTGGAAGGCCTGCAGCGCCAGGCAGGGGCCGCCACACCTGCCGAGGTACGCGCAGCACACCCGCATCAGGAGGGCCGCCTCGGCCTGGAGCGATGCCGCCGCCTCGGTGCCGGTGGCCACGTCCCGCAGCTGCGAGGCCACCTGCACCAGCCCCCACACCAGGTGCGAGACGGAGGGGTCCTGAGGCTGCTGCGACTGGAGCTGCTCGCGCGCCGAAGCGCGTGGGGCCGCGAGGAGGTGCGTGGCGGGCGCGGCCTGAAGCGACGACAGGCTGGCAGGCATACCCGAGGGCCCCTCTCTCCATCCAGACTCCTGTAAGGGCAGCCAGAAGCACAGTGATAGAGCGAGACTCGCCCCCCCCCCCCCGCGGGGGAGGAGGGGGAGAGGGAGGGGAGGAGGAAGCGGAGGGGGACAAACCTCCGCTACACTCAAACTTCCTCCGAAGGATGGAAAGGGAGACCTCGCAGGACGCGAGAAACTGGACGTCCGTGCAAGGACCCTGGACGTTCCAAAATCGTCGACGTAAGGACAGGAGGCGAGGACGCAAGGATACGGCGTGTTCCTGCAAAGGGATCGACCCAACCAGTGTGGGTTCGTTTTCGTTTTGATGTCGTATTCCCCAGTTGTGTCTCCAACCCGCCTTTCCTAGAAAAAACGAAATCGAAACGAAAACGGCCCACGAAATCGCCAAAACACAATCTTAGGTCGAGCCCTGTGCTGCATAGATGGCGATGTCTGCGGCCTCCATCACCGCGTGAACTGCCCAATACTTCACGCCCTGTGCTGTCGTGGGGCTCTGGAAGGCCATCGGAGGGGGGATCGACCTCCGCCCGGGGCTCGCGCTGCCGCTGCACCGAGACGGCGCGAGCCCACCGTGCCCTTGCACAAGAGAACCCCGTCCTCGGGCAGACGTCGGACGCTGGGGCAGCGAGCTACGCATGCCGCTACTCCACGGATCTGTCCTACGGCGCACGCGACCAAGACTTCGAGGCGAACCCAGCCGTGGTGCCGAGGGAAGGGGCAGCGGTATCGGCATCTGTTCCACCTCTGAGACTCGGCCTCATCCGACTGCGCGCACCGCGCGGCACAGGGGCGAGAAAGCCTCTGCCAGGAAGGAGGGAAGGGGAGGAGGGGCAGGAGAAGGGGAAGATCCTCCTCCTCCTCTTCCTCCTCCGCCTCCCGCCTCCCCCTCCCTCCTCCTCCTTCTCCTCCTCCTCCTCCTCCTCCTCCTCCTCCTCCTCCTCCTCCATTCTCCTGCTCCTCCTCCTCATCCTCCTCCTCCTCCGCCTCCGCCTCCGCCTCCGCCTCAGCCTCCGCCTCCTCCTCCTCCTCCTCCTCCTCCACCTCTTCCTCCTCATCCTCCTCCTCCTCGTCCGACTGCGCGCCCCGCGCGGCACTGAGGCGCGAAAGCCTTTGCCAGGAAGGAGGGAGGCGGAGGGAAAGCCTTTGCCCAGATGACGATGATGATGATGAGGAGGAGGGGATGATGATGATGATGATGATGATGATGATGATGATGATGATGTTGATGATGATGATGATGATGATGATGATGATGATGATGATCATGATGATGATGATGACGACGACACCGACGACGACGACGATGATGATGATGCTGATGGTGATGATGATGATGACGATGATGATGATGATGGTGGTGGTGATGATGATGATGATGAGAACGATGATGACGATAGAATGATGATGATGATGATGATGATGCTGATGATGAGGAGGAGGAGGAGGAGGAGGAGGGGGAGGAGGA